GTTTGTGTCGGTTACACAGTCTAATAGAGCGCGAAATTCTACATTTTTTGGTCCATAAACTAATGATTTGAACTTTCGATTTTATACTGAAATGGTCAAAACTTCGTTTTAGTGCTAGAAACTTCGGTGAACTTGGAGGTTTATGTATTAAAGTCACTACCAATTGAAATAAGTTTTCTTCAAGTAAACGTTTTTGTAAAGCATGGGATTCTTGACCATTTGACTGTAACAAAATTATTTCAAATCTTTTTGTACTCATTATAAGCAATTAAAAAAAGGGTGCAGTTTGCACTTTAAAACTGCGTCGTACCGTTAGAAAATTTGGAGCTTTTCCTGTTAGCCCTACTGTGCCAAACATCAAAGATGAGTCTTAAAAATGAATATATGATCTTGTAGAGAATTAAATTGTCTATCGTTTGGTACAGTAAGGAACATTTTTTGTGAAACGATTTGTAAAGAAAAACTGCATGCACATCGTTTCAAAATAAATTGATCGACCTGTACATGTTCTGTGTTATAGTCCAACAGTTCAATAGGAAGTTTTCACATTATTTGCTTCGTAGAAGCAACGCTGACAAAGTTTTCTTGAACTCTGACTTAAAAAGTTTTGTATCTCAATAAGTTTGTTTATTATTTGTAGTTTATTTCGCATTTAACCGCATAATCAGCTGAATAAAAGTCAGTATAGTCATTTTACTTGATTTTACATATTAATCCAAGATCAATACGACAATCTGTATTCTGTGCACATACACTATGGTATAAAAGTTGTGCAACACATTTATTTTGATATACGTATTGTCCATCGACACACTGCTGAGAATTTTGTTCAGTTGTTGGCTTTGGCTTGCGAAGTACTACACCTAATGTGATACAACATATAATTACTATTATAATTATATCTAAGATGACAACAAGAATTTTGTTACTTGGTCTCTCCAACAATCCACACTTATTGCTTAATGATGTTGATTGATCTATATTGCTTACTGAAAGATCTGCTCACCTATCAGATCTATCACTGGAATTATCACTACTATGGACAGTGTTGTGTAGAGACATGGTTACATGTATTCTTTCCTCATTTATTTGAAATTATCTGATAATAAACTAAAACAGAACCGAGCAGTAGAATAAAATTGGATTTTATAACCATGTAACAATGGTGGCGTATCAACTCGTAACCAAAATGTTTTGAAGGCTTTTTCAGGTTTTTTACCTAAAGGATACCGCCGCCTTTTAAAATATGATTTATTGGTAACACAATAATGATAGAGTTTGAAAGGCTCGCATTTCTGTAGATTTTTGACGTCTCAGATCGCTATGGTTCCTGAGATAACTAAAAAATTTGATCGATAGGTACATACAATAAAAATTCTTTTTTCGATAACCTTTCATTATTTCGACTAATGCTTTTTGCTATTAGACAGGCGAGATTATTGTGCATCTACATCTACCGAAAAAAATGACCGAAAGATAAAAGTTTTTTATGACTTTTCAAAAATATCATGGTCAGTAAAAATGCTATAGCTGCATTAATAACGCATGCCGGAAGACTGCACTTACAGAAAAACATCCTTAAATTCTGCGCTACAAATCGTGACATTTAAAAGCAAAAGTAAATTGTCCTCTGCGAACCTAATTGGTACTAATTAGTCAGTAAACGAAAGAAAAACTAAAATTTTTGCGCATTTCTCGTAGTAAATATTCTCCACACATTTCTCTATCGATCTAGGTAAGAATCAAGTTTTTATGATTAATGGAGAATGGAGAGGAAATTTTTTAATAATAGCTCCGTGCTCAAGAACTTAACGACATTTTTTAAGTAATTAATTTTTTTCTCCGCTAAAAAGACGATCTGTCGAATTGTCACACCCACTAGGGACAGTAAACTAACGGTGGATGCAAATGGAACATTTTTAGTTTTCTTTTAATACGTGTTATATGTTCAGATCTTTGTGATCATAAAATGTTTTTGTAAAGACGTTGAAACCGTTACGGCTTCACGGATCGGTAGAGATCTGCATTAATAAGACATGTCCATGGAACGGCTAAAGCGAAGAGCTATTTTCACGGTATGTGGTTATATGCATTGTTCGTTCACTATTAACTTTCATTTGTCTGGTAGAGAAAATCGCTCGCATATCTTAGAAGAAATTGTACGTATTCTTAAAGCTTTATCAGCACTGAAGATGATGTTCTAGCTTCAATAAACAAATAAGTAAAGCTTAACATCATAGATACTTGCTGGACTAAAATGTAATTTGAAACGCCTGTGCCCTGAAGAACAGGACGGAAACTAGTTCAAGAACTTATACATTTGACAGTTTTATCCTTTCGTTTTGGAAGAGAAGTGTACTGAAAGCTTCCATTTAATAAAAAGTATTTACATAAATATATAGTGTACTGAAAACTTAGTTTCTGTGTCAATTAGAATCTTGATCAAGTTGGTATCGCTAAACCATCCAAATTTCAGCCTTTGATCGCAGTGCGACCTAAACAATAACGGGCATAGTAAAATCGTGGAAAGTTGTTACAGGCTCTTCCTCCTCCCTCCCTATCAGAAATCTATCTCTACAAGTATAAGTCCGATCTTGATCAAAGATGCTGATCTTGTGAAAGCATGATGATGAAATTTTTTGTTTGGCGTCATCTAGTATGGTTTGTGGGATGTTGCTACAACAGTGACCAAAATGGGGCTGTTCGTAGCTGCACGATTTCTTAGTAATGAAACATTGTGGAGAGCTCAGGTTGATCTTACGTTGACGAAAACACATGTGGCTAGAGGCTAACGGAGCCGGGCTTTTGATATTTTACTTTTCTAACTAATGGCCAGGGTAACCCTGTAATAACCAAGCAATCAAAAGATGCATAAAGCCAAAGCTCTAGAGTTCAAGGTTATTTTGTAGAAAGAATCAAATGAGAGCAATTCAACTTGTTATGCTCCAATAGCCAGGTGGCGGTTCGTAGGGTGCCTCTTAATGTCATCACTTAATTTTCCTTTCGACCTCTACTTGTTGTTAAGCCCGGGTTCTTTAATTAAGCGAGACAAAAAAACTCTCTCAGTTTCCTAAATTAAACAAAGTGCCAAATTACTGTGTGTAGTATATTTAAAATAATGCTGAAAAATATATATACAAGAATAACAAGAAGTAAGGAGACCACTAACTGGTCCGTCGACTTACTGACTCTGTATTCTAAATACACTCGAACTGACTATATCAAAATGTGTGCTTCTTATATATATATCGAAAGAACAAAGACATTTGACATAAAAGAAAAAAGGAAAATAGAGATGGCTAAAGATGATGCAATATATAGACCTAGAATAATAGTGATCACAACTAGACAAAAAAAAACAATAGATGAACGAAATAAAATAGACGAACTAGAAAAAAGAAAATGAAAGTAGAGGGGTGAAATTGAAAATAGAGTGATGAAAAAAATGGACTATAGTCAGTATAATATTAAAACGATAACGCGCACACACACATGTGAAACGAGGTAAGACAAAAAATAGAAAACTAAATCCTAAAGAATACGCAAGGACCAGAGCATTAGACTTAACACTTAAGATATCGACTTTTTGAAAATTCTACATCCATGATTTAATTGAGCCCAAAATTATACCAAAATCTTTACCAACATGATCTGCATCTATGTCAGCATTGACATTTTTCAGAGTTTACTTTCTACACGCTGGAGCATAAATTTCCTAAAATTCCTCTTTCGTTACTCAAAGATTGTGTTGATATGGAAAAAAGAATCACCCTATTGAAACACATGGAAATAATCTCGATTTCCATATCTTCTATCTCTGTTAGTATAATTAGACCACAATAAATTGCGTCATTATTTCAATTTAATTATCTAACCCATTTAAGAATTTTGTTGGATATATAGGAGCTTTTAGGCGAAGGCTTAGACTGTATCTAAATATGTAGGTTTACGGTAATTAGAATCTGTAATTCTCTGTTTAAAGTTTTATTTTTTCTCTTTATTTGCAACAATCCCTTCTTGTTTCTCTAAATCTTAACACAGGCGTTACATTCATTTAAGTGTTATCTTTTTTGTAACATCCTAGACATATCCGTGTTAAAATAAACTCATGGATTGATTGAAGAAATATAGCAGAGAGACAGGTGAGAGCGGTTATAGAGTGGGCGTACGATCCAAAACAATGATGGTAAGCGTTCAGCAAGTAGACGATTTTCTCGTGCATCTAGTATTAGCTGTAGTTGGTCCTGATATTCACTCTCGAATTGTTGCTCCATTGATGTTTTATGTGGTTCTTCGTTACGTAAATGAACAGATATGGGAGATAGTGGCTAGTGGCGAGGAGAATTGTTTTGTAAAAATTCCAGATTGCTGACGAGAGTCTTGATTAGATGGAGGTTTTGAATGAGCTGAACTAAGTGACGATGGTAATTATAAACGCTCGATTGCTAGATTTTTGAAATCCACCTTTGAACTTGTAAGAATACACTACTATTTCTCGCAAATAGCTAGAAACACTAATCATTTGAAATAAAATAACAATTCTTTGTTAATTATTCAACTAACCATGCCACTGTACATATCTGCATATCGCTTGCACTTTGCACATTGCAGTTAATTCATAGAATAGTTGTGTTTATTCGCAGATTAATACGTATGATTAATATCTAAAGGTTAAAAGGGTTCTGCTGTATGTCGAAGAAACTACAATTTGTTTGGAGTTTGTGTACCGGAAAAAAGTCGTGGGCAGAGTGTGAGAATTTCCAAGCTCCGATGGCATGAAATCAGCTGTTTCTCTCTTGATTCTAGCTCATATTCCTTGTTAACGATAGATATCCGCGTAAACTTGTTTTATTCTGGTTCATTGCTCATCAGTTGGTTGTGCAAACAATATGACAGCCACTGACCCCACTGTCGACGCACAAATAAAACAGATTGATTTCTCCTGCCAGTTTCCCTGCAACTCACACGAGCCTGTTGCAAGATCGAACTGGTTCATTCAAATGCAAATGATTACCAATTGGATAATGAATCAAGACAACAACGGAATTTTATCATCCAGAAAGAGGACGATTGTATTCATTTTAATCTTAGCTTTATTGGTTGCCTATTATGTTAAAAGTCCACCTCCTCCGGCTTGTGATATGGAAATAGCTGAAAATAGAGATTTCAACAGTTTTTATGGTATTACTGGTTTGAAAAATCATTTTACAACCCCAACGGCGGATGAATGTAGTCCAGGTATTATATTTCGACCAGCCTTGCCTCAAACGATATTGAAAGCAGATAATTCAGCAAGTTCATTTATGACATTAGCCAAGTACGGTACTGGTAAAACCTTATTAAGATGTGAATATTTCAAATGTTTGGCTGCGAATAATTATCTGAAAATCTCCATATTAAACCGACAAATCAGTGAATATCTCGATCGATATGTTTCCGGAAAGAATCTGACTCGAAAGGACTGTCAAAATGAGAACTGTCTAATCGACTGGTCAGAAAATGAATTTGCACAATTAATTTTCTCTAGCTTAGTCACAGAATTGATCGATACACATCATAATACACCATTAAGCTTCCCCGATTTATCCTTACATGAGAAAATTCATCTGATCACTATCATCTGTTATTATTACAATGGTGTAGGTACGGGTAACCTGGAACATTTTGTCAATTCTTTCCTTGGTAAACGGCCAGACTCGCCGTATCTGGCAAGTGAAGCTAAGGTGCAAGTTCAAGAACGAAATATGTTTCATGATAAGCCGTTGCTAACACATTTGAAAAGTGACTTTAAAAGATTTTCGATTCTGAAGAACGATAATGAACGATTGCATTTATTATTGGCTATTCTTGAAGAGGAAAAATTTGAACATGAGGCCAGTAGTAAACATCTCTATGAAAATGTTTTCCGAGATCTTACTCGATTTTCCGTGTTTATTAAAAATTCTTTGAACAAAACACCCGTGTTTGTTATCGATGGCATCGATGAAAATGGATATTTTTTTCCACAAAAACGAAGTGAGTAAGGACGCCTTGCAATTATTTTGTCGTTCGTCCGTATCACAAGATATTCTTTCTATGGTCGTTGCAAATAATTTTTATCTCTCAGTTTTCTATCCGAAAATAGATGGCATTAATATAGAAGATGCTATTATTCGAAAAGATAAATTTCCAACGCATAAAATCACTTGGAATACCAAATCTCTCGTAAATTATGCTGATTATGTTCTTCAAGAAATGAATAAGAATAGCAGCAAAACACGTTGTAAACCATTTATCGATTTCAAAACGTTGGTCAATTTTTCAAATAAGAAAGTCGCTGAAATTATTGAAAAAATCCCAACACCGAGAGCACTTCATTACTTTATGGGCAAATTGATTTTAGAAATGAACAACGATGCCAGTTCAATTAAAAAACCATTTGAAGCAACTATTGAAAATGTCCATGGTGCTTATGAAGAATCGTACCAAACTTACGAAAAGCGTCACCAAATTAAAGAATGAAGAATTAGTGCACTGACCGTTTTTTTCCAAGTATTCATGCAGTTTCTTTGTCTACGTGTCATCCGATTGTTTCAAAAAAAAATTATTATGCCTATGTGACAATTAAAGTTTTATCGAGCTAGTTTGGGCTACGGGCAGTGGGCGTGGGTTCTTGAAGAAGCGATTTACCTACTTCCACTGTCAAGATCACTACTGAATCTTTGATTTCGTCTAGTGACAAGGAATTTCTCGTAGTGACACATTCTTCACTAGGGTCACGGTTCTTACAATGTTTCGTCGATTACATTTGAATAAAAAGATCGATCAGTGTATGTCGGTCGGTTAGAATTGATAGAGATCTGTCGAGCGCAGAGGACTATTCGCTAGTAGGTAATCGAGTTATCTTGAGTCCGTACTCTCTCTCTTTTGAGAATAAATGACAAAGAGGAACCTGCAAACGTTGATCGCTGTTTCGTGGTTGTTGTCCGATGAGATTCTCGGAATATATTGATCAAGAGAATCGACTTTTATTCTTGCGAGATTGATATGCGTCCTTGAAGCTGTGCCTTGCAGAGCACCGAAGATGGCGGAAAGTTTCTGCAAAAGGATTCGGAGAAATGTGTTACTAAAAAACTGCATATTTCTCGAATATTCAGGCAGTCGGATGACGTGTGCAGAACGAAATAGAAAAAAAAGCAAATAGGATGCTAAAAGCTAATGTTGTTTACAATGGGTCAAAAACCTTTACCTAACAAAAACGTCAAGTTACCACTTTTAGATATCAAAAAGCTTAATAGAAACTTTTTCTTGCTTCATTTCAGTAATTAAATGCCGCCGGACGTATAACTCGGACCAGAACCACATGAACTGCAAGTAGTATAAAGGGTTAATACGTAATGTAGTCAATGATCCAACAGACTACTGTCCTTTATGGAACTGCAAAAAATCTCACATTCCTACCTTTCTTCTCCCAAAAGTTAAAAGTTTTGAGCAATATCTTTTTGGCATGGCTAAAGAGAAAAACATAGCCTTATTTCAGGCATACTCTTCCAGTCAAGGGTTGAGTGAATCGATTACTTGTTTGAGAATTTTCAAAATCCTCCGGACAAAAGGAAAAGATCGAAAAAAATGATTATGTAATACTTAGTAAACTTAAACAACTCAACAAAAGATATAATAAAAAATAAGAGTGTATTACCAGAAAAAACTGGCCAAAAACTCAATGAGTTTCGGAATATAAGTTATATACCTTTCTGGATTTTTGACTTTTAATGAAAAACGTTTCTGAGTTCAGGAGAGAAAGCCAAATTCCTGTGGATTTTTTAGTTTACCGATATTCTGCGGAGTTTGCTTTTTACGGGCTATCCATTTATGTATAAGACGAAATTAAGAAATGATAAGTTGATGAGAAAAGGTTCATTTTATGATTTGGCCGCCATGGTAAGCTATAGACCAACAATGATTATCGGTTTTTCCTATAATAAACTTTCGAATCAGCAGAATGATCCAAAAGAGTGTAAAAGTGTCTTTTCTAATAAACTCAGGCAAATATTTTTAAGAAAAATTAGGGAGCAAATTTTGGACTAAATCGCCTCCTTCTCCCCGTTTTTTGAGGTGTCTTCGCAGAAATTATAACTCAGAAACAAACAGGTTCCAAAATTCAAAATCTGAGATTGTATAAACAACAATCGGATAAGTTTCAGGCAATAAACTGCCTGTCCAAGCGTGACGCTGTGACATTTTTGACACAGTAATTTGAACTTTTCTCAAAAAGTGTAAGAGCTAGAACCTTCGTTCTTGCGCCATTCGACGCAGCTCGCCATACTCTAGTTTTAACATAAAAATGAAGGTATGTGGTTAAAGACTCAAATTTTTAGAACCGTTTTTCGGCACGTGACGCTGTGCCAAAAAAGGCCCTAAATTCGAAGTTCTTCGCGTTAAAGGTTCCAAAATTTAAATTTCTAATTTGTTAAAAGCTGCGAATTTAGAAGTGCTAATAAAACGTGCCTCGAGCAAAGTTTGTAGCGGAGTAACGAGCTGCTGATTGCTAAAAAGGAATCTTTCCAACGAGCTTTCCATCAATCAATAATTGTGTTTTATCGTCGTGACGCTGTGACACACTTTTTTCCCAATAAAGTATGGAGCACTAAGCATTGCTCAAAGGATTTCATTTTCATATCGGACTTAGCTGTAGGCATTTAATATAGACTAACGTTGAAAATGAAGCTGAAAATGTGTTCACTTTCTTAGAATTGTGTGAGAATCTTAAAATTAAAAAATTAATTAAAAAGCTTGTTTAAACTGTCTTTTAAGCTGAACTTGAAAAGAAACATACATCTTGTAGAGAATCAGATTCTCTATCGATTAGTGTGACCTTCCATTTTCTTTAGGAAAAGTGTCTAGGTGAGGAAATTGAAAATAAAGTTTTCAAAAAATGTAAAACTGGATTACTGGTGCCCAAATTTAACTTTTTAAAAAAAACTAACGTGAGATTCGTAATCAGCATCAAAAACTGCATCTAGTGATATGTTCCTTTCAGTTCTACTCTAAAATAATTTTTTCAATAATTAATTTATATTAATTTACTGAGAAAAATATCGTCAACGAATGAAAAAAGAAAACAACGACAACAAAAGAAGATACGATAAAAAGAGAGATTAGATTTGTTTAAAGAATAACAGAAAACGAATATACAGTTAAGCTTTTGTACTTTTTAAAAGTCTTCCACCCGTGAACTTTTATTAGAGCTACAGTTCATTTTGACCTGATTGTGACTTTTTTGTTTATATTATATTTCTGTTGATTGTTTGCATTTTGTTAAATATTTTCCTTTAAATATTCTACTTGATTGAATGTAGCAGCAATCAAACATCTTCATGATTATGTTAATCTTTCGATCAACATCTACATTCGACCTACACACAAGCAGGAGACTTGGGAAACGCTTTTCACTAAGTTTAACTGAAGGCATTTTCTTGACAATGAACGGGTTCGAAAACGGAAAAACATTCCGTAATTTGTTGCAAATATAACTTTTTCCAACTGACGAGAACATCATGCCTGTAAAGTAATCCATACTGCAAAACCGTAGCTGAGTCCGATTGTTCCCAAGCAAAACTGAGTAAACGAGGTAATCTAGCTGCAAAAATAGCTGCAGCTCCCACTTACAGCTAGATTAACAAGATTAAAAGGTACATTTATCTAGCTACATGCTGATTGAAATCGTGTACTAGCTGAAACGGCCGCAGCATTGGCCAATTAATGGCGCAATGAATTGCCCGATTAATCGACAACAACTAGTTGTACCCAGTTGAAGCTAGATTCAATCTAGCTGACGCTATATCAAATTTTCATGTATTTCACTGCATCTAGCTGAAGCTAGATAAATGTACCTTTTAATCTAGGTGCAGCGCCCGCATCATGAATTTTTTTTCGATCATGAAATGTTTGTAACACAGAAGACATCATCAGCAAAAAGGCAAGACAGAAGAGAAGATTTAAGAGATGGTGCAAGATCATTTATAAAGATGAGAAATAAAATCGGGCCAAGAATACTGCCCTGAGGAACTCCAGACGACACTCGAACAGAAGAAGAAAAAACAGAGCCCACAGAAACTTCTTGTGTACGATTTGAAAGATAAGAAGCGAACCATTTCAAAAGACTTCCGACTATTCCTGCTTTAGCCAGTTTTTGTAGTAGAATATGATGTGGCACAGTGTCGAATGCCTTTTCAAAATCAAATGATATGTCAATTAATTTACACTTTTTTTCTGGATGCTGGTAAATCTTGGTACTTGGACGAAATCCAAACTGTGTTGGGTTAAAAAAGTTTCTTGTGCATAGAAATGAGTATAAATGCTTGTAAATCAGTTTCTCGAACACTTTACTAACATTAGACAATAGTGAAATAGGATGATAGTTTTTGACGAGTAACTTGCTTCCTTTTTTATGTATGACACGTATAATAGCTTCTTTCCAGGCAAGAGGAAACACACCGGTCGAAAGAGAAAGAGAGAAGATATGATATAACTGAGTAAGACAAAACATCCTCATCTTTTCTTATTTATTTCTGTGAAAAAGAGAGAAATAGCCCTTTTTCGGAACTGTAATTTTGATGCTCTATAGTAAATCCGGCTGTAAAATTTCTCGAACGTAAAATCTCCATCTTTAGGTCTGAACATAGTTTTATACAGGTAGCTCAACGTGCTCTACAAGACACAAATCAAAACCTTGTCATATTGGATTTTAAAATGTATCTCTCTAGACTAGTATTACAAAGATCCATTCCAAAAGGCCATAATGGGACGCACAGACATAAGATTCATGATCAACAACAAAACTACATATAACCATGTATGTTTCGAAAATCAAACAGTAAAACACGTAAGATAAATGGGGAATATTAATATATAATTGTAAATATTTAGTTCGAGAACGAAAGTTGACGAATGTTTTAGCAGATATGTGCGGTATGATGCCCGCTGTGTGATAAAAATCTGAATATAAAAAAGTCTGAATATATTATGTAAAAGTTAGTGTATATTGTGGATTATTAGTATTGAATTTTATTAAACGTATTTGACTGTGAATTTAGAAGAGAGATGGTTATATATACTAGTTGAAACAGGGGAGAACGTGTTTCAACTAGTATATATAATCATCTCTCTTCTAAATTCACAGTCATATTAGCCTGATGATGATACTGTGAAGTATCGAAAGCTCGCTTTTTATTTAAAATGCTTTTACAAAAATGCTTTTCAATTATATTAAATATACTTAGTTTTATAAGAAACGTAAAAAAGTCAAAGAATGTCAGTTTATTAAACGTAGTAAAAGGAATATTGATCAATTATCAGCTAAAAAAATAGAATACTTTACTGGTAATTTTATACCAGTTTGTAGCCTGTTTTACTCTATTCTCAGTTCTTTTTTTAAATCTAACATAATTAGAGCAGCGCACACTAGAACGTATTGCCCTACTTTTCAATCAAAAATGCTTTTAATGTAATAGAACAAGCACTAAAATTTATGAAGGACTTTACGAATGATGTGAAATGATGACTAAGAGATTCGGGCATATCATTACAAAAAGCTTTTCTTCTAAAGGATGACATAATATTCTCGACGTATACGATGATTATGAAAAGTTTCTTGAAAAAAAACGAACACTAAGCCTTAAATACGTCATTATTTTTTATCTTGTCAAATTTACCGCCCTGTTGTGATATTAGCTATTTTTGTCATTCAATCCTTCTTATTTGCAAAATTGTTTTAACTAGCTGAAAAATAATTTTCTGGCCAGTTGAACCAGGGTTGGACAACTCCAATTCCGGAGTTAGGCAATTTTTAAGTAGAATTGGAGTTAGAGTTGGCTTCAGATGAGTTGGAGTTGGAATTTTTGAGAACACAGTTGTGTTTTACTGATTCTTATTCTCAACTCCATGTAATTGTTTTCGTTACGCTCAAAAAAGAGTGACGCAAACATAGGAAAATAATCAGTATGGTTCTTTTTTAGACAATATACGACAGAATTCATATCATTCTCATGTGTCAGACGTTTGTGTATGTGTGACTTTGTTTCTTTCTTAGGTTCTTCTATTTTGGCTATTCATTCTTTTGTACATTGATTGTACACTTCTTCATCAGTATAGAACGACGAGAAACAAGAAAAATAAGATCAAAGAAAAGAAAAAAAAAGATGCAGCGTGTTTGATGTGTAAAGTTGAGTGTAGTGTAATATACTGTGAAAGCCTAAGTGGAAAGAGGCCAAAAATCGGAAATACCCCGACGAGATCTTTGCGCCGTACAACCTAACTCATCACGCTGATTTCGAATATGTAAAAATCTCGAGGTACGCTTGCCTAGAAAAAAAACATCAAATTTTGATATGGTAACGTGAAAGTAAAGCGTTGCAAGGTACGGGAACTTTCGTCATACATAAATATCGTTGTAGATACACAATAGAATCGTTTCTATACCCGTCGCATAACGTTATTGATATGTGACGAAAGTTTGCGTATCTCGTAACGCTTTATTTTGCTGTTACGGTGAATGTGACAAAAATTGGCCTCATACAATAAAATTTTTGGTGTGCGTGTGACGAAATTCACAATTTGATGACGTCAGTTCCGGAAGAGTATCCTGTTCTCAGAACTTACGTTATACATGACGAAGGTGCGTTGGTCATAATAACGATAGGGTAGTGTGATGTCATAATTCATCCGATACAGTGAGACTGTGCAGTGTCGCACATTAATCAAGTAAAAAAAATACGTATTTGAGGCTTTTTGTTTCGCATATGTCCTGAAGGTTATATACGTCAGCTCACCTGGTACGGCGTACTAAACAGAATATACTAAAAATAAAGTAATATTCTTTCTTTCTTACCTTTTACTTGCGATATACAATTGCTCATAATTATAAAATTTATTTAGTATGCATGATAGGATAGAGGTTTAGACTCATTCAAGATACAATCCATATTTTAATCAAGTATCTCAGTTGAGAAACCGATATTTCTGCGAAAATATTCGTTTCTCAACTGACATACAATTTTGAGACGTACGTTGAAATATGCAAGAGTGCAGTGTACTAAGGCCTATTATTTCGTAGTGAATGAAATGAAATTAGGTATATGATGTATCTCTACGGACTATCTGAAAAATTATTTCCACATTACATGATCAAATATTATCGTGTATTAAATTATTATCAAGTAATCGCATGTATCCAAAAAACGTAATAACAGTCATATAGTTTTATGTAAAACGGCATGAAAGTTGCTGAAATTCTGGTAGATTTTGTAGAGCTATTGAATAATAGACCTTTGTACACTGTATACTTGATTAAAATATGGATTGTATCTCAGTTGAAACAGTACGATTATAGATTGCTGAATGGCTCTCGATGCACGTCCGACGTGTCTACGTAATTTTTTCCATGAATTGTTGTACGTGATAATTATCTCTTGCGCTCAACTACTCACTCAAGCAGCGCTGGGCAACGTTCTCGTTCCACTTCCAATCATCGGTCCAGCCCTCAAGATCACTGACAAGTCTCATCTACCCTGGACATGTGCCGCTTATTCACTCACTGTCGGCATCTTTATTTTGATCACTGGACGGTTGGGTGATGTATTCGGACATAAACTGTTGTTTATACTCGGTTTTATTTGGTTCGGTGTTTTTAGCCTATTGACAGGCATGGCCGGTTACATCCGAAACGATATCTATTTTGATATAATGCGAGCATTGCAGGGAATCGGACCAGCCGCAGTTTTACCAAATGGCATTGCTCTCCTGGCCCGAACATATGCTGCGGGTCGCCGAAAATCACTTGTTTTTTCAATGTTCGGGGCAACAGCTCCGGCTGGTTTTGTCGTAGGTGCTCTGTTCTCAAGTATATTCGCACAATTGTCTTGGTGGCCATGGAGTCAATGGACACTAGCCATTGTTTGCGTCACTCTTGCCCTAATGGCTTATTTTGTCATTCCTGCCGAAGTGTCATCTGCCGTTCATCCGATGGGTAAAATAGATATTCTCGGTGCTGTGACTATCGTTGCCGGCCTCGTTCTCATCGTTTATAGCTGGAATCAAGGACCGGTTGTTGGTTGGAATAAACCGTATGTCTTCGTTCTACTAATTGTTGGTTTTCTCATCGTCGGTGCGTTTATCTTTATTGAAACGAAAGTCGAAGAGCCCATTATGCCGCCATCTATTTGGTCGGTGTCCGGCTTTCCCGGTGTCATACTGTGCGTTGGCCTTGGTTGGTCCAGTTTCGGTATTTGGATGTTTTATTTAGTTCAGTTTATCGAAGTTCTTCGGGATAAGTCTCCCTTGTTAGTTACAGCCATGCTTACGCCCTTGATCCCTGGTGGTCTCACAGCTACCATTCTCGTTTCTCAATTGTACCACCGAGTCGCCGGGCACCATTTACTCATGGCTTCGATGGTTTTCTTTTGTGTCGGCAATATTCTCATAGCCACAGCTCCTGTGGATCAAACCTACTGGGCACAGACATTTGTTGCCGTGCTTCTCACTCCATTCGGTATGGACATTAGTTTTCCGGCAGCATCACTTATTGTGAGTAATTCAATGCCGTCATCTCAACAGGGTGTAGCCGCGAGTATGATTAACACAGTGATTAATCTATCTGTATCGATGGGTTTGGGCATTGCAGGAACGGTGGAGAGCCAAATAAATAAAAGTGGAAATGACGTGTTAAGAGGATATCGAAGTGCACTGTATACCGGGATCGGACTCAGTGGTTTGGGAATAATAGTAGCACTTTTATTTTGTCGAGTACCCGTAGTCGTCCCGGCTGATGAGAAAAAGGAGTTGGATGGAGTGGCAGTTTCCTCAGCGATGGCTGGATCAGAGATAGCCATGACTGGTGGTGAGAGTAATTTACCTAAGAGTGAAGGACTGGAGCTATCAAGAATTGAACAATCAGAACAGAAGCTAAACTCGTATCACAATTTAACAGAAGTTGATATATAGTACGAGTTTTAAAGAAAGAAGGAAAGGCTCGAAAGAAACTATTTAGGAATTAGTAAACGTATTGATTCGAAAAGGGAATCCTTTTTACTTCTACCAATTGCAAAAATATGACTGGTATTACTCCTGCTGTCATATTTCTTTGATTTCTGTATATAACTTGATCAGACTTCTATTAATGCAAACTATTACTGCAGTAGTTCTTGAAAATAAAATCAGTCTATTTTTAGTGATAGAAAATTTAAAAAAAATTAATAACTAATGTGTGCCCAGTATAATTATCGATCACAGGATAGTATAGTTAGTCGTAGATCTATATTCAAGTAACCGAATACACGAAACGACCAAAAGAAAATGATATATTAATAATTAAATCAATGAATGTACTGAGTCAAACTAGTTCAGCAAATCGTTGAATCTATTTCGTTCAAGTTTTACCCATTCGTTTTTCGAACTGGTATCGAAATTCTCAACTGTATCCCAAAAATATTTTCAACTCTATGACAACGGTGGCGAAAAATCATTCTCAGTATTTGTTCAAGACCACATTAGGAAGTGATAAGGCCAAAGAGAATATATATATTACCTATAATTAATTAGCACAGTAAATGTGTTCTTTGATGTGTTATATATAAGAGTTAATAAAAAGTAATCT